CTCGATGTGTCACGGTGATTGCCTGCAGGAGCAGCCCCCGGCGGACACATAGAGGTCTATGATAAGACGCTAGGCGGTACTATAAAAATCTGTCTTGAAATATATGAACAAAATTACTACAATAAGTATCTACATTTATATATACTTATATAAATTTGGGGCAGATTCATAATTCTTATAGATGGCTGACACGGCCGATAAATAATCGTTTTTGAGTCATTCTAACGTGTATGTAAGGCCATTTCAAGAACATTTGTCAGTTGTTAGGAGATGCGAAGGCTTGGAACACGAGTTGAACTCTGTTCCTGACTGTCTCCATTGCTATGGCTGATATTACTGAATGATTTATTAAACTAAATGCAGATACCCAGTTCTGAAATACTGTGTTATGCTGATGATGTGAAAATAATAGTTTGGAATAAAGACAAGGATACTTTTAAAAATTTCATAGAATTAATCTTGAAAGAAATCGATCAATATTTTACTCAAAAAAAAACTGAAAATCAGTTTTAAGAAAACTAACATTCTGCATTTTCACAATAAAGACATGTCCGCAATAAAGTTTAAAGACAAAATAAGTTCTGAAATACTGTGTTATGCTGATGATGTGACAATAATAGTTTGGAATAAAGACAAGGATACTTTTAAAAATTTCATAGAATTAATCTTGAAAGAAATCGATCAATATTTTACTCAAAAAAAACTGAAAATCAGTTTTGAGAAAACTAACATTCTGCATTTTCACAATAAAGACATGTCCGCAATAAAGTTTAAAGACAAAATAATTATACCAGTACAAGAAATTAAAATATTAGGAGTCACTTTTGCAAATCATTTTAAAAAGAAAAAGCTTAATTTCAATCCTCATATAGATATTGTAACGTGAATGACAAGGCCAAGATACCAGCCGGACGCCGTGGGCAAGCCTGCGGTGCGGCGTTTCCCGCGGCCGTCCCGCCCGTCACCAGTCCCCCTTCCTCCTCGGGTGCCCCGCCGCCTGTCCCCGTTGCGATCCGCCTCCGTCTCTCGCCCCGTCGACCTCCGGAGCCCCGGTCACACCCACCGACTTCGATGACCCCGCGCCGCGAGCTGGAACCATTCTTGTCCCTCTCCCCTCCAACCAGCGCCCCCCCCCCCCCCTCACACACACACAAAAAAATAAATAAATAAATAAAAAATATAAAAAAGTAAATCACACTTTTTTTCAAAATTTTAAAAGAAAATAAATTGGCATTTTTTATATTTCATTTATTTCCTCAAACATTCTATTTATATTTTTATTGGAAATAATTGCAAATAAAAGACCCAATGTCAGTTATTAGGAGATGCGAAGGCTTGGAACACGAGTTGAACTCTGTTCCTGACTGTCTCCATTGCTATGGCTGATATTACTGAATGATTTATTAAACTAAATGCAGATACCCAGTTCTGAAATACTGTGTTATGCTGATGATGTGACAATAATAGTTTGGAATAAAGACAAGGATACTTTTAAAAATTTCATAGAATTAATCTTGAAAGAAATCGATCAATATTTTACTCAAAAAAAACTGAAAATCAGTTTTGAGAAAACTAACATTCTGCATTTTCACAATAAAGACATGTCCGCAATAAAGTTTAAAGACAAAATAAGTATACCAGTACAAGAAATTAAAATATTAGGAGTCACTTTTGCAAATCATTTTAAAAAGAAAAAGCTTAATTTCAATCCTCATATAGATATTGTAACGTGAATGACAAGGCCAAGATACCAGACTAAAGTTGGGGAAAGAGGGGCTGACTCTAGCGGCCCCCGCTGCCATGTTGCAGGCGCTAAAACAGCATTCCTGTGTGGGGGAGGACAGAGTCTGGTTACATCTACGGCAAGAAGAAGACATGGCGACTTGCCTCCGGGCGTGTGGATGATCCTACAGGGCGGTGCCAGGAGAAACTGATATCGGAGCGGCCTACAAGGCGGTGTAGTCCAGGCTGGACGTGTAGTGAGAAGCGGGAAGCTTCACAAGAGTGACATCCGCAGCGCCAAGGATACTTCTGACGGAGAGTTGAAGGTAAGTCCCACTGTTGTATTCCTTCTGTTAATTGAGATACAATAAAACTCTAACTTTAGATGCATCCCTTCGAACTCACTGTGTACCTTTGTGGCATACTAATTAGACAAAGTACACGAATGGCGTCTGGGTACGACCAACAATATTATACGAAATGAAGTGAAAAGATTAAAAAATCTGCTACTGTCAATTTGCGGAAAAGCTTGGGGTCTGAATACCCAAAAAAGACTTACATTATACAAAACAATATTTAGGCCAATACTTTCTGATGGATCGGAGATATGTTATAAATTTGTAAATAAAAAATATATAAATAAATTAAATTCATTTCAATGCCAAATGCTATTATGGTGCACGCAATCGTAAAAAAATGACGAGTTCTAATTTTATACATAGCATAGCCAAGATGCCTTTGCTTAACGATTTCATTGAATCAAAAGAAATAAATATGAATTAAATAATTTAAATTTAGAAGAAAAACGAAAATACAATTTAGATGTCCCAAGCATAATAACGGATTTTATTGAATTTAAAATGGCTACTTTAAAGAACAACACAAATGAAACTTTTCAAAGCTTCTTCTCTAACATCACACCAAAATATTTCCGCCCACACATTCAGAATTTTCCATTCATTTCTAATCATGAGAATTTCAGAAGCTTTTTAAAAATAATTAAAGCGGTGGAAGACTCGAGTTGTTTTTGTGGACACGAGGAACAAACCTCAATATATCTTTTACTAGATTGTCCTGTTTTTCAAGACTATAGAATCGAAAATAATTTAATAGTAACAGATTCAATTTTTTTCCAGTAAAGAAATGAATATTAAATTCAATAACTTTTGTAGATATATTTCAAATTATATAGCAACAAATATCTTTTAAGGAACTGATTATTTATATTATGCTGATTGTACATTTTGACAAACACTTCTTCCTTTTTTTCTCTCATTCTCATTGTAAACATCATATAGCTATTCTATTCACGGCCTAAAATTATTGTATATATATAAGTATAGACAAATGTAAAGACATACATGTATGACAGCGCAATGGTGCCTAGGGGGACATAGCGCTTTAAATTGTGATATAAAAATAAAAGATACCTGAGAAATAAGTACAACTTTCATCCTTACCTAGGCTGTGGCTGACTTTGTACCTGAGATACAAGTACAAGCTTGTGTCCCTACCTAGGCCGTGGTTGACTTTGTACCTCTTCTTCTTCTCTCTTATCTTCTCTCAATAATATTAGGGTATCATGTTGTGACCCTTGATGGTGTCTGTTTGACAACCATCATGACTGGGTGAAGTAGAATGCGTCTGCCTTTGTCATTAAGGTTGGGAGCACTACTCAGTGGCAGGCCGACCTAGCTCCAAAAGAAATGGCCGCCTCTGACTTGAGGACCAGACGCCAAGTGCAGCTGCTCCTAACATGGAGTACAAACGCTGCTTATCCTGTATACCTAGATCAGGAGCCCTTGCAGGGTACTATCAGCTGGGCCAGCTGAACCCAGGTTTTTTTAGCGAGCTTGTTACTGCTCCTCCTCCTCCTTTTTCAACCGGGCTTGGGACCGGCAAAGGCGGAGTTACTTTGTACCTGGGATACAAGTACAAGCTTATGTCCTCCTTACCTAGGCCGTGGTTGACTTTTTACCTGAGAAACAAGTACAAGCTTGTGTCCTTACCTAGGCCGTGGTTGACTTTGTACCTGAGATACAAGTACAAGCTTGTGTCCTTACCTAGACCGTGGTTGACTTTGTACCTGAGATACAGGTACAAGCGTGTGTCCTTACCTAGGCCCTAGTCGATTAGTTCGGCTATTTAAAGACAAATGCTTTTAATAAACTTTAATGTGAAGAACAATACTATTGCTGAAATTATATTTCAATAAGTTCAGGTACATTTCACAATTTATCTTAACTTTTGTTAAAAAGGTGTAAAAACCGGACGAAGCCGGTTACATTCGCTAGTTTTATATATTTGTCTTTTGTTGAAATTAAATCAAACGGGTTTGATACATTTAGTCCATTGTTTATTCTATACTCTTGCAAGACGGGTCAATTTAGCAGCAAATTAATAGAACTCTGTTCCTCACATCCACAGAAGCATCTTGAATCTTTAACTGCTTCAATGAATTTTAAAAATATTCTAAAATTTCCGTGATTTGTAATAAATTGAGAGTTGTGGAAAATTTCCGGAAAATAATTCGGAATATTAGCGAAAAAGAAACTTTGAAATGTTTGGTTAGTATTTTTCTTCAATAGTGTCATTCTATATTTTAGAAAATTTTCAAGTATGTCTGGAATATCCAAATCATATCGCTGTTAGTCCTCAATCGATAAATTATTCAGATCATATTTTATATTTCTGGATTCCATTTAGTCCGTAATTAAAGGAATTTTTGCCAGAATATGCACACAACTATAGCTAGTTGTTTTAAAAGTTTGTGAACACCATAATAATATTGTTCAAATGAGGATTAAAATTTAATGTATTCTTTCTTCTATGATTTGCAAAGGTAATTCCCAAAAGTTATATTTCTTGAACAGGTGCAATAAAATTATGTTTTTATTTATTTCAAATTCATCATTGTTATGCAAATGTCAAATACTAGTTTTATACATTAAATGTAAATGGGTATTATCCTGATAAATGAAAAGAGCAGCTCTTAAAATAATTTCTAAACCTAATAAAACGAATTTAGAAATTGCTAAAAGCTACCGACTTATATCTCTAATATCAAATCTCTCCAAGTTTTTGAAAAAATAACAAAAAATAAAATATGAATTTTATCAAAAAAGTTTCGAGTCATTCTAACGGGTCTGTAAGGTCATTTCAAGAACATTTGCTTTTGAGAAGAATCTGAGTTAGAGAGAGAATATGGTTTTACGGGCTACTAACCAAAGTGTGTGAATTTCGAGCCCAAAAAAGGCTGTAACCAGGATAAATGTAATAGCCTACAGTACCTAGTGTTCCTTGGTGGTCACCCTCCCAAGTACTGATCAAGCCTGACATTGCTTAACTTCGGTGATCGGACGAGAACCAGTGTTTTCAATGTGACCCGTAGGCGAATCTGAGTTAGGAGCATGTATTGCAACTAAATGTGTAGTGTGAACCTTTTGTTGACTAGGGTATTACAGTACAGCATGTCATTGTTGCAACACTTGCTTGTAATATCTGATGGCACACACACTTGTGGAAGTAAATAAAATACTAATATATTGGTTTTCCCACAACAGGTGTCGCTGAGGTAAAAATGTATTTCTATGAGGTCATCATGTTGAAATCTATGAAATATTAGATAAAGTTGTGGAAGTATATAAAGGTCTCTTTTGTGTCAGTATTTGCTCAGCCACCATTCTACAGGTAAGATCATACAATGACAGTCTACCTCTGTAGTGAATCCTAAAATATTGTTACGTCTTACCCAGACATTGTTCGTGTATTTTGTCTAATCAGAATGCCACAAAAATACACACTTGAGTTAGAAGGGATGCAACTAAAGTTAGCGCTTTATTTTACCTGGCACTAAACAGAAGGAGTACATTCAGTGGGACTTTCCATCAATCTTCCCGTCAGAAAGATCCTTGGCGCCGTGGATGTCACTAGTGGGAAACATTCCTCTACACACTGTACATGTCCAGTCTGGACTACACCACCTTGTAGGCCACTCCAATTTTAGGCTCTCCTGGTACCGCCGGAGACAACTTCCCAAGTCTTCTCCTCGCCTAGATGTCACCAGACTCTGTCCTCTTCCACACGAAATGCTGTTTTGGACGCCGGTTTAATATCTATTTTACCTTTGTTTTTGGATGTGTGTAGGTTAAGGAATCCAAGATGAGCTGTATCCATATGTCCATGTTCTTGGTAATTTCCTTGGTTCTGCTATGAACAACGTCAACCGCCATGGGAGAAGGTATGAGGGGTCTAAACCAACTATATCTCTATATTTACATATAATTTCTTATATTTAATTTAAAATGCATATCATTTATATCAAAATATAATTTATTTTTACCAAAATTTCAGTTGGCTGAACGCCAACTTTTATCAAGGTGATATAACATATTTAATGTGTGTCAACAACAAACTCAGCGCCACATAACGTCAACAGAAACGATTTCTCATATTGAAACTTATATTAAAAATTATATATTATTCAATAAAATAATCCCTTGTATCAATATTAAGCAAGAAAATCAGGCCACCAGAGAAAAGTATCTTTACGAAAACCTTTTTAATCTTTAGCTTTCGGGCACAAACGCCCTTCTACAGGAGAAAACATGGTATAATTATTGACATTTTGTGAATCTAATTCAAGTTAATCATCAGGCCATGTTTTCTCCAGTAAAGGGCTTTGTGTTCGTAAGCTAGAGATTATAAAGGTTTTTTGAAAAGATACTTTCCCCTGGAGGCCTGGTATTTTACTCATTATGTATTATTTAACGCAAAATTGCTAAAGGGAGAAAAGGCACTTCTTACTTTAAAAATGTATTTAAATAATGCATTTTGTTTATGTACAGAACAGACAGTGATAAAAAGGCAATGTTACAATGCAATTATGAAGGTGACCCCTTTTGGTATACATTAATAATATATTTTTTAATAAATGTTATTTCTTTTTATTCTATATATTAATGAATATAAAGTTTATCTATATTTTTGGGGCGTCATATTTAATTCATATTCATTAATATTATTATTTATAAATATCTTATTTGAAAAGTTGCTCTCATAAATATTTCATATAAGAACATACAATTTACAATTACGGTGAATGTATCAGACTTCTAGGAATATTTTTACTTTAATATTAATACAAGGGATTATTTTACTGAAAATAAAATGCCAACTCTCTCCTAAATCTATATTAAAATGAATGGTTTTTTGTATTATTTAATCAATAATTGGGGTGGTGTATTAAAGTATAATTAACCTAAAATAATATTTATTTCTGTGTTCAATAAAATAATCTCTTGTGTGAAAATTGAGTAAAAATATCAGGCCTCAAGGAAAAAGTATATTTTCAAAAACCTTTTAATCTCTAGGTTTTGGGCACGAACGCCCTTTTACATAAGAAAACATGGTTATAACGATTCACCAATAGAACACGAGTTAAAATATAATCAGATACTATTTTGAATAATTTTATAAAAAATTCTGTAGGTATACATTTTCCATTTTAACTCTTATACTTTTCCTGGAGACATGATATTTTTACTCGATTTAATTCTGTTTTCAACCTTCTATCTAACGACCTCACCTTTGGGTAAGAATATTTTAAAGAATAAATCTCTTCAACATCACATATCAATTATATATATATAGCAAACAGTATATATTGTTGGGGAAAATATTATAGATTCGTAGAAGAGAAACATCCTTTATTAGCAGCTCACGCCGGCCTGCCCTATCCAATAACCGCTAGCCGACTAACAAACTAACAAAGCTTCGCTATATAGACAGAGATGTCAATTAGCATAGATAATACTAAAATGCTATGAGAATCACAAGAGTATTTTATCGTAGAAATATTTTGGAATTGCAACTTTCAACATATATATTTATTATTATGATTTATTATTTCTTTACCAATATGCTACCATACTATTAATATTCAACACAGCGTTGACCTGATCTATATTTTATTTACCAACTTTATACGCTCTTTATTTTAGTATATGGTCTATATATTTACCTGTCGTAAAGATTTTATAATCTAGTGAGGTATAGATTCTCCTGCAATCAGCAATTGATTCTATTTACAAGTTCTTAAATGCTTCTTTAAAAATTTCGAATGTTCTTTCTGTTTTTTTTTTATCCCCTTGTGTAAAGATTACACGAATTCCGTGAGTTCATGCTCCTCGAGTATGGAAGGGGGTGTAGGGGTGCAGCTATCGTTGATCATGGCATCATGATCCAGGCACACTTTGGTGAAAGTCTGACTTTTGCCTGTAATTTGAGGCCAATCCTAACATGGAAGCAGACGCCTAGATTGTTCTTTATGTTCTAAATCACCTTCGTCTTAAATACTTTTAGAATGAGGGAAAATGTGTTTGGAGATGAATCCAAGGGTAAAGGGCTACGAAAATATATGTTTTATATGTCTACAAATAGTTGTTCACAAAAACCGCTGGATGGACTGGTAATTTTCTCTGATTTGTCTAATTTTTCTGGCTTCTTTTTAGCTACGTTTCAAACGTATCACCATCAGTAAAATTCCTCAAGAACGTTTAGATAAACTGTCTGATTAAATAACTGGCAATTCAACATGAATTCCTTTCATATACACATAAATTCTCTATCAAAATATATCATATTTGAAACTCTTAGCTTTGAATTTTCTGTATAATTTATAAGGGCCGAGGTCATCTTCTTCTAAACAAACTATTGATTGAATTAATTTCATTATCGTATGTATAAACCCATGTCTTGTCTTCCATGATCTCATCATCAATACAAATAGCATCAAAGATAAATATTTAAAGCATATTGCTGCTCCAGGTTTTTCTGATATATTGCGAAGAAAGTAGAGACAGATTTAACAAAGGTGTCTGTTTTAATTTTTAAAATCCCTTATGATAGCCTGAAACTTTCCAACTGATATTCTAACCTCTTTGGGACTTCAATTAAGCTTATTTTGGCATCATCCTAAACAACACTGATAGGATCTTTTTTATTTTCGAGGGAATTTTGCAAGTTTGGACGCACAAGATGCATTTCTTCCTCGAATTTAAAAATCTGCCATCTTTAAATTCTATATAATTTAAACACCCCTATAGAAATTAATATTCAGGAAATGTGAAAGAATTAAAACACGGATGTTTATTTTACCCATAAAATAAACTTCTACTGTCCTTACTGCAATGAAAAATATTGGGAAAGTTTGGCTCATCAGTAGTGAACCCTCCCAGCGGTTTCGCTAATTTAATCTACCAGACTGCTTTTTGGAGCTCTTATACTGTATTGGACGATTCTACTTATATATGCTACACTGAAGGGTGGAATCTTAGATATCCAAATAATTTTTTTAATTGAATATATATTAAAATATAAATGTTCCTCCTGTGCGTTTGTGAAAATTATCAAATCACAATATAGTACCTAATGTATTTTTTTATAGATATCTCAATTTATCCATTTCCGTTTAAGAAAGAGATCAGTACTAAAGGTCCTGGTGCTATACAGCTGTTATGACCTTAGCTTTTATAATTTTATGAGAACCTGCTTGTGTTGATACAATATGATAGAGAGTCGATAGTCTTCCTATGAGAAAAAGAGAGAAGAGAGGAATTTTTAATCTTGTTACCATTATTAAACAGTTTTGAAAATGGAAAGCTCCAGGGGTAAGATATCGAGGGGAATGAGACGACGGGGATACACAGACGATCTAAAACAATGGACTGGACGACACGAGGAGATGAAGAGGATGGCGGAAGACCGGGAAGTATGAAGAGACCGTGTGGCTCACCCTCAGTAGAGGAAGGTATTGAAGGAGGAAGATATGGAGAGACCATGTGGCCCACCTTCAGTAGAGGCAGGCAATGAAGAAGAAGGAGATATGGAGAGACCATGTGGCCCACCTCCAGTAAAGGAAGGCAATGAAGAAGGAGGAGGTATGGAGAGACCATGTGGCCCACCTCCAGTAAAGGAAGGCAATGAAGAAGGAGGAGGTATGGAGAGACCATGTGGCCCACCTCCAGTAAAGGAAGGCAATGAAGAAGGAGGAGGTATGGAGAGACCATGTGGCCCACCTCCAGTAAAGGAAGGCAATGAAGAAGGAGGAGATATGGAGAGACCATGTGGCCCACCTCTAGTAAAGGAAGGCAATGAAGAAGGAGGAGATATGGAGAGACCATGTGGCCCACCTCCAGTAAAGGAAGGCAATGAAGAAGTAGGAGATATGGAGAGACCATGTGGCCCACCTCCAGTAAAGAAAGACAATGAAGAAGGAGGAGATATGGAGAGACCATGTGGCCCACCTCCAGTAGAGGAAGTCATTGAATGAGAAGGATAAAGAAACTGAATATCGCTTCCACAATATTTCTATTTTCATTAATTCATATAAATA